GACACATTGACGATATGATGACTCAGGGGCTTCCTTCCCTGCAGATATATTAATGCTATGAGTCTTTGGTAAGGCAGTTAAGGTCTCATAATCAACTTTTAAACTGTAGTGGGTTCACACTTTACACACTGCAGTGGATTAAAATAACATCAACTACACTTCAAGTTTTATCAACACATGAAATCCATTTATTAATTAAAGATGGATATTCTGCATAACTTTAAACAAATGTTAACTTCGGTTAGACTGCCTAACAAAGTTTTTACATATATAAATGAGTATGTTTTGTGACAGCATCAGGATCAGCAGTGCTAGTTCACAATGACATAGATAAAAACACTTTGATGTTAATGAATAATGAACTTGGATGTGTACTGGATGAAGAGAAAATATGACTGTGTATAATACAAATTTTAGGAATATTTCAGAAAAGCAAACATTTCCTCACAAGATAAATAGAAAAGAGTGACTTAAGAAGCAGTTATTCTTTTCTTTTATAATTGTACACATTATTTACAGTTCTATGGCAGTGGGCCGAGCAACGAACTGAATCTCGGAAGAGCAAAGACGACGAGTTGAAAGGATCAACAAGATGTTAAATATGTCCAATGTAACAAATCATGAGAGGCTATAAAGAGTAAAAAACAAACCTAACACTTGTATGTAATACCCATGTATACATAAACTTATATCTCTTACAATCTTAAGTACAGTATGTACAGCTTGCAAGGATGTGACTCCTATTATCATCTTACATGACTCCAGTACTAATGGTAATACAAACAAACATACATAATAAAGAGAAGCCATCAACAGTGTTAGTAAACTAGCCCCAAGTACATACAGGGTGATTCAGCAAAGAGCACATTAAATTGGAGGATGAAATCCTTGGATAATTCTAAACCACAATGTCTCTATGGTAAAATGTCAGATTCTGCATATGCCCACGTGTTCGTGACAGGTGCGAGCAAATTAAACATAGTCTGGACATTCTGGAACGCGCCAGACAATCAATGGTACAACGTGTACAGGCCTGCATTGAAGCAGAAGGGGACAACTTTGAACATTTCCTTTAGATTGTAACAAAGACAGGTCACACTGTAGAGATCTGTGAATAAATCATTATAATAACCTACAGGGGTTTCACTTCAAATTCACTCTCATTAATACAACATCTTAAATATATTGTAACATGGAAAATATGCAGAATCTGACATTTTACCATAGAGACATTGTGGTTTAGAATTATCCAAGGATTTCATCCTCCAATTTAATGTATGCTTTGCTGAATCACCCTGTATATAACTGACTGGTGTACACTTATATACCAAGAAAAATGGATAGTTACATTAGTTCTGTACACAAGATGAAGGTAGCAAATATACATTTCTTAAGAGAAAGAACAAAGTGTAGAAGGAAAGTACATTGTTATTTTCTTCATCATTACTGTATCATTATATGTACTGTAGTGCAGTAAAGAGGTCTGGGTGTACTGTTGTATGTTTACAGTGAAGAGAGGTCTGGGTGTACTGTTGTATGTTTACAGTGAAGAGAGGTCTGGGTGTACTGTTGTATGTTTACAGTGAAGAGAGGTCTGGGTGTACTGTTGTATGTTTACAGTGAAGAGAGGTCTGGGTGTACTGTTGTATGTTTACAGTGAAGAGAGGTCTGGGTGTACTGTTGTATGTTTACAGTGAAGAGAGGTCTGGGTGTACTGTTGTATGTTTACAGTGTATACTTTTATATTTTGCAGAAAGAGGTCTGGGTGTACTGTTGTATGTTTACAGTGAAGAGAGGTCTGGGTGTACTGTTGTATGTTTACAGTGAAGAGAGGTCTGGGTGTACTGTTGTATGTTTACAGTGAAGAGAGGTCTGGGTGTACTGTTGTATGTTTACAGTGAAGAGAGGTCTGGGTGTACTGTTGTATGTTTACAGTGAAGAGAGGTCTGGGTGTACTGTTGTATGTTTACAGTGAAGAGAGGTCTGGGTGTACTGTTGTATGGGTGTAAGAGAATTGTGGGTGTAAATTGGCTAAATTCACTGAAAAAAAAATTTTGCAGCATAATAAAATAGGCAATAATCACCATTTCTTGTTGCCAATCTGAAGCAATGGTTGCCAAAGTCCATCCACAGATGATCTACTTCCTTCCACCTTAGAAGTACTGTACAAAGAAAGATAAGAACTACACAGGGCAAAGAAGTCACATCCTGTACCTAGTACTTAACCATCAACGTGACCAGCCAGAGAAGCGTCCGCATTACGTGTGGTCTGCTACAACTTTAATAAAACTAATAATGACAATAAAGATAATATACATTAAATAGTGACACCATTCACCTGAACTACAATATTTTTGGATTATTCTGGTATGTATCATCCCACTAAATAAACAGAAAAATAATAATTTAAAAACTATTTGATTTGAAAAAGCAATGCTATCAATAGTTACTGGAGATGCATCTCACCTATATTTACTATGTCAAATTTTTTTAGCAACTTGCATTTGTTATGAAGAAAAAGATTCACCGGCTGGTCACTGGAATACGTGCCACTATAGCGCAGTACCAAAAGAATGATAATATCTATGGTTTGGGGGAAGATTATGGTTCTCTAACTACATCACCTTGACAATCCATCTAAACAAGATTAGCATGGACAGCTTTAAAAAATACTGTCACAATCACTTTGGCACTAGTGACAACGACGAGAACACGAGCCTCTTTATAGTTAAGGCGAGCATGCCACGTGGTATAGTAAGTGACTGTGAGAGGAGCTGTGAGAATGACAACCATAATCTTCTGCATCCCCCTGGGAATACCTTAGGTCCCTTCAAGTCAATGAATCATATTTATGAACTCCATTCAGTCCTTTTAATATTTAATTAAACACATGTTCATTTCTAAATTATGCAAATTATATTGAGAGCAGCAAGAAAGAACTACTAGTGGGGGTTGGGTGAGCTTGGAGGGACTGAGGTTGAGGCAGGTGGGGGTGCAGTGCTTCAAGCGGCAATATGAGCTTTTATGAACTGGGAACTGCAGCTTTAAAACAGTCCCTTCCTCTTTTTGGTTTTCTCTTTCCCATCCACATGCCTGTTGAAGAAAAGAAATAAAAGAAGATCAACAACCATAAAAATACTCCCATAACCACAAAAACAGAACTACTGTACTGCAAAAAAAAAATAAATAAATAACAGCCTGCAAATGTACTTTTAATTAATTATTATGCCAAGAAAGCAAAGGCCAAGAAGCAATGAGCAGGCCAATTTATCAATCTATAGCATCACCTTTTTCCTGCCTTCAAGTCTACTGATTACAGTATTTCCACACCTGCATGTGTCTCACCCAACACCAAACATCTGACTAAAAACTAAGTGATGTAGTAGTTATAAGTGAAGCTCTCTCCACCTGTCTGTGTAAAAGAGTAATATGTGAGGAAGAATGTTAATTTCCTTGGTAAATAAAACATTTAAAAAACAAGCAGAGGCATGAATATGTAGAAAAGGAAACATTAAAGGATGAAAACTAAAAGTACAGTAGTGACAAGATTAAATATGTGTGCTAAACAACAGGTAGATGAAATGTGGTGGTGGTGGTTAATGAAAAGAACATTTGATGGAAGAAAACAATAACTAAGTCTAGACAATGTACAGTCCTAAATTAATCATGTATATAAATTACTGTACTGTATTTTGAGGAGGATCAAGATTTTGTTTTCAATTTGTAATTTGCAATTTCTTTTAGTGTAGCTTACTGTACGTGTACTATTTTCAACATTGATGTAATGTTCAATATGATGATCTCGCATGCAGGCTTCTCTCTCTCTCTCTAGATAAAGATGAGACTCCCTCTTCCTCTCAAGGTAAACAACCTATCTCTACTATTATCTAAATGACATCAGTTTACACTACTAATACAGTTTCAATCACCTGGTTTAATTGGGTTCTGTTTCTTAGCATTCCAGGACATAGTACAGTAGTCTAACTTCTTTCCTATTTGCCTTGTCATCATCTTAATGGTAATAAATAGTAGTGTTTGTAAGAAGGCTAAATAAATTACTGTAATCCTTCTGTAAAAGACATGTAAATATTTTAAAAAATGAGTGTAACTTGTAGGAATGAAGCTCAACCTTATAAGTACTGTATGGTGTTGAGCCTAAGACCTGTTAACCAAGTTAGTAAGCAGAGACTAGCTAGCTAGTTAGCTAGCCAGGAGAGAGCATCAGTATAGTGCAGGAGTAAACATTTAATGGTGGACAGACAACCCAGTACACAGCATGCAATATCTAATTACAGGACTGTACAGTCTTGTGCAAAAAACAAAAAAAGGAAAATAATATTGTGAAAACCAATGTATCCTTCAAACTGGAGCTGAAGCTTAATGGAGTCAGAATAAAGCATAGGAGAGGATGCAACACGCACACCATCTCTTAGTTCTGCCAGAAATGCAAGCTTGACCAAGAAGTCCTGTAGAAGGCATGACAAGGCATTAGTAAGCATATTTATCAGGCATGATCTCTATGCTTGCAAATGTTGAAATAATATCCTGAACTTCAAGGAAGGCGAGATCTCAGTGGAGACAAGCAGTTGCCACACAATATATTGTATGTGGTATTGCTCTCAACTGTTTCTGAATAATGCTAAACCACTCACAGTATTTGAGGGTAATTATCCAAACACCTGAAAATTCTCAATATAAAAGTGCTATTAGTCACTTACACCTGTAAGTAACAGTCTGAACATTATAAACATGAGTCCACAAACTTTGGGTCTTTCAAAGTTTACTGAAAAATTATCAAGATTATGTACAATATACTTTACTAAATAATATTGAGGTCTTACAAGTTACTCATTGGGAGACTGGTCACCTGCCACTCACAAGCTAGCAGTTCTTGTTAGTGTCCTGCAACCACCAAAACTCTTTAGGTTTAATTTCATTTACAGAAAATCCAACATATTTATTCTATTGCTAACAACTAGTTTTGATAAATAAATCCAAAGTTTCAACAAAATCTTTATTTCTTGAGAATAATGCCAATGTAATGCCATTATGGTCAAAGACAGAATGTAGCTGCATTAAATAAACAAATAATATCACATAAGGGAAGCATGGTTTAGCTCTTCTGAATAACCTCCGCTTAACCACAAACCAACACTGTAGTATTAACACATGTGCAGGTGAGCACAGTTTTGGTTTGTAAACAGGAAGATAAAACATTCAACACCAATAAAAGACAAAGCACAAAAAAAAAAAAAAATATTAAATCAAACAATGATTAAGAAACTCCATTAAGTTGCACTTGAAACACTTGGCACCTACATAAGGAAGGAAGTAACTTAAGTAAACTAGGAGTATATAGTACAACTTATAGTACTATGCAGATACAATGTTCTCTCTCTCTCTCTCTCTCTCTCTCTCTCTCTCTCTCTCTCTCTCTCTCTCTCACCTAGTCTCTGGAAATGTTTTCTACAAACTTTACAGATTACATTTATATGTGAGCACTGTAGGAGTCACAATGATGCAATAATAATGAATGACAGTATTACTAAGCACCCCATGCTGTCTCATATCTTTCTGTTGCCTAAAGTAAAATCTCTTTCTGCTTGTTTTCCCCTGCGTAATGACTAGCTACACTACCTACATATGAATACAGTATACTACTGTACAGTGTATCATTCCTAAAACATTAATATCTTTTACTTATTGATGTTTTGACTTTTAAACTCTCCCTCCCACTACAGTGTAAGGTGGCATATTATCTACAAAAGTAAAACAATGTGGTTTAAAGCAAATTTTCAGTAAATTATATTTCATTAAGTGATGAGCCAAGCACCACTGCTTAGATGCTGGGGTGGGCAAGTCTTCTTACTCCAAGATAAAAAAACTTATCTCTGTCTTAGTCATTCCCATGTGATCTCACCTGGAAATCTTTAGGCCTTTTTTTTTTAATTTCTTAAAACATTAAACAAGTCAACAAAAACAACATCCATTACAGTACTTATGACTTTTATTATCATGTAAACTGGCTCTACCCAACTACTGTATGCACTTCTATGTCTACCCATGATGCAAACACCAAATCTGCAGGATATAACTAAATAAAACTTAAATTCTCAAAAATATCACTAAAAAATAATAAAAAAAAAATATTACAAGACAGAAACAAAAAAATACATTAATACTTAAGAAGAGATATGGATATAATGATGCTTAACAAGAGAGAACTAACTCCTTAAGGTACTGTTCTTTCCTGCTGTATCTGCACAGTAACATCACAACTTTAAGATTTAATTTACTAAACTATAAGTCATAGACACTTGAGGATTATAACATTTTGATCTTTAATGGCAGGAGCTTCTTACATTGCTTAGTCATGTTACAAGTGATGAAAACAACCTCTAAATGACACAAGTACGTACAACAATTACCATCCGGACACACTGTGTGGTAATGTTAAACAATGAGTTTATTGATGATGTAGCTTGATCATGAAATAGCATAATAAACATATAACACTGAATTAATGACAGCATAAATAAATGCCCTTGTTTTTTCTTGTTGTCTTGGCCTACTACTGCTGGTTACACTGCTCATTCTGTTTGAATTTATGTCTGGGGAGTGAGTAGGTACGCGAGAACTTTGGAGAGCTCTTCTGAGAGCCTCCCGAAGTGGTGGTGCTGGAAGACGCCAGGGAGGAGGTCCTGTTAGTGGGAGGTAGCCGGGCGTTAGTGACCACATGCACACTCACACGCACTCACGCATGCACACATACGCACTCACGCACACATCACCATCTTGATATCTAATGAAACCTTCGATAAATTTGTCTAGACTAATACTCACCTTTTGTACGTTGGATTAAAACTTATACTTTTCTCCAGTTGTACGGTACAGTCTGGCTCTTGGTTAATAATAAACTAAGGTGTCAAAAGTTCATATGAAACTACATGGCTGAGGAAATATTGATCTCTGACCACTTGACAGTTCAGTCAAAAGTAACCTGACCAAACACCACCTGAAGCTGTTGGTGTCACTATCAACAACATTTCTTACATTACTAAATGTATCTTTATCAGTTGCATTCTCTTACAAACAAACGTCAAAAGAAACTTATGAACATGAAAATCAACTGAGCATCTATAAGGGAAACCAAAGTCATGGCAATCCCTATTATGAAAATGATAGTCTTTACCTCATATTACCTTACAAAAATTATTAGTGTCAAGTTAATTAAAGTGAGGGTAAACTGTCATCATATAATAACTAGAAACACCTAAATACTTCATGCACCACCAACTTACTTACAATATGGGAACTTAAAATAAATAAGGTGAAGCAAATCCCTGGCATGACTTTTTTAAGTACATTTAACTCTCATGAACTGCTCTTTACACAGTTTCACTTTAGATGGTCATACACAAGGTCATACCATATCTACCTCAAGTCTTGGAGTTCCTGTATCCACTTTTGAATGTAATTCCAATAATTTTACTACATTAAATACTGTACTAAGTTATAAATACAATGAATCAAAATGTTTTTAAAAGATATAAAAATATATAGTGCTCAAGAGATAATGAAAGTGTCAACCAGAGATAGAGGACGTTTACCTCCCAGCAGTACAACTGTCACTTATGGTGGATGCAAATATGAGAGGCAATATATAAGATGAATTCCATCATCAAAAAAGCCCTCCATAATATGCTGCTCTACAAATTGTAATTTACTGTAATTTATATAAACTAATTTCAAAATTTATGAATATCTTTAGTTATAGTCTGTTGCCTGACCAATGTTTTGAGCTATAATAAGACATTGCACATGATGCAGACTGACCTGAAGTGCTAGAAATACTGTGGTTCATTAAATGTTCATTTAATGTGTTGCTCTGAGGGACTTTTTGAGTGTTTACACCTGTAACATCTGACAGAGGACTACCTAAGTACTCCTACAGAAGCCAGCACTGTACAGTAGTGAAAGCAGGAGATAAGTTTAACTACTGAAGAGATGTCATGGCCTGAGATGAAACATAAAGTGTGTGATGAAGAGAAGCACCAGTACTTTTAAGAACAAATTAAGACATTTTACTCATAAGCTTGTGGCATAGGCAGGGGTGTAGTCAGGGGGGAGACAGGGGTGTAGTCAGGGGGGAGGCATAGGTATAGTCAAGCTGTACGCTTCCGAGGGGTTGTCTCCACGTTTCAGTTACTCACCTGTGGCGTCCCCCAAGGCACCAAGATGGGACCACTCTGCTTCCTTATGCTTATCAATGATGCCCTAAGAGAAAGCCCTGCTCGCTGGAAATATGTTGGCGACTCCACTATTGGGATCAGCGTCAACAATTCTGCTCCCGACTATACCGCCCTTCAGGATTTATTGAACAGTCTCCAAAACTGGGCCACCAACAACCACGTCACCATCAACCATACCAAGACCATGGTTATGCACATCAACCTCTTCTCCGACATTGTCCCACCCCCTTCCATTAATTTAGATCCCAACACACTCCAGGTTGTAGATTCCACTAAGCTCCTCGGCGTCACCATAGACAACAAACTAAATTGGAAACCACTCATCAGTGAAGTTGTCAAGTCCTCCAGTTCCGTCTCCACCTCCTCCGCCGACTCAAGTCCCTCGGAGTTCCTGCACCTGAGCTCCTCAGTGTTTACTCAACATTCATACTTCCCAAGCTCATCTATGCCTCCTCCACCTGGTCTTCCTCCCTAAATGCCACACAACGTAAAAACTTAGAAAAAGTGCAAAAGAGGGCATGCAAGATTATTCTCTCCCCTTCCTACTCCACATATCAAGAAGCGCTCAACACACTGACCCTTTAGACTCTCACTGACCATCACCACGACCTCATCTGCAAATTTAGTAAGAAGCTTCTGCACCATCCTTGACACCGGCTCCTACTACAACCTGAGATCCCTAGCCCGAGAATTGCTGTTCGACACCACAACCGCATCCAGCCCATATGTGCACGAACTGATCGCTATAAGAACAGCCCAGTCCCAACCATTGTAAAAATTATCAATATCTTGTAATAAACCAGTGTATTCACTCCCAGTAAATCCTACTTCTTGCACTGTCACTATGTTGAAATGCCCTGTAATTTGAGCTTTTCCCCATCTAGTTATTATATATCTTATTTGTATCACTTATGTTACTTGCATATTATTTGTAAATCGAAACCCATTCACCAATTATGTAACTGTATATTTTCAGCCTTCTGGCTGCTATGCTCTTTCAATAAACCGTTAATTATTATTATTATAGTCGGGGGGAGGCATGGGAGGCAGGAGTGTAGTCAGGGGCAGGGGAGGGGGGGCAGGGCTGCTTCCCGGGGCCCATGCCTACTAGGGGGGCCCAGACTAGGCCCCTCTATACAGTATATTATAAATTAGCCAAAATCCCCCAAATTATAAAAATATAATAAATCCTAAAGAATTCACTTTCAATAGCAGGTAAACTCAAGTTGTATTTGTATTAAACAGTTCATTAGTCTGTTGTTGCCATATTACTTTGGGATTCATACATGTTACAAATTTCAATTCTTCTGATGTATCCATTTTGTGTTGGTGTCACAATTATAGGCACTGTTGGCATATTATTTGCTATATATTTTGTTCTTTAAATCTCAGTCTAAAACTTTATTATTTAACTCTTGTGATCAGCAATATACTGTAGTACATTAAAAAATATTGCATTTTATTTTTGTTTCAATAACAAAAATTGTAATGTCAGTGCTGGTGCCTTTTTATTCATTTATCTACACTCTGCACCTTATAAATGTGACACTTTTTTTTATTTTCAGTAGAGGGGGAGAGGGGTCCCAGGGCTAGGGTTGAGTGGCTATGCCCCTGGCAGGAGAAGCCTAACAAACTAAGAAAGTTTCCTCACATGCTGGGGGAGCCTAAACAAGTTACAGAAAAATATTGGTGTAGCAACACAGGCACTGTAAGCATGTGCAGTGCACTACTGTACTATACTGTAATTTATGCACTATTGTAAAATTGATACACAAGTCTAACCAGTGTACACTGATACAATATACAATAGATGTACTGTATTAAAACTCTTTGTAAATCCACTGACAAATAATTTCCCACTAACAAAATGCTTGATATTTTATAATATAATATAGGTAATCTATAAAGTCTTAAAATCAGACAGAATGTATATCCACGCCGGTGCCCCCTCAGTTGGTGTTTGGCCGTCGTTGTTGTCGGTAGTGATCGCGATGTGTACTGATAAAATTTCGTATGTAATTCCCTTTAAAATGACTGGCAAGCATAAAAGTGAGAGTTCTCGTGGTGCTGAGAAGAAAAAGAGATTCAATTACTTTTGAGATGAAAATGAAAATAATAATGCAATATGAAAATGGAAAAACGGTAGCAACCATTTCACGCGACCTAGGCTTCTCTCACTCGACGATATCAACAATTTTGAAGGACAAGGAACGAATATGTGAGGTAGTGAAAGGATCAGCACCTATAAAGGGAACAATAATGATGAAAAAAAGACAGGGTCCTCTTCATGAGGTGGAAAAATTACTTGTGATGTGGATGGAAGATCAGCTGCAAAAGCATGTACCCCTAAGCCTTCTAACTATACAGGCTAAGGCAAGAAGCCTTTTGGAAAGCCTGAAGGAGCAGGCAGGTGATGAGCGCGACCAAAACTTCATAGCAAGTCATGGGTGGTTCCAAAGGTTTAAGAAACGTTAAAATTTGCACAGTGTAAAGGTGAGTGGAGAGGCAGCAAGTGCTGATGTGGGTGCTGCCGAAGCTTTTAAGGAGGAGCTAGATCATGTCATCATGGGGGGAAATTATTTGCCTGAGCAAATATTTAATGTGGATGAAACTGGCTTATTATGGAAGCACATGCTAGAAAGGACATACAACCACAAAGAGGCGAAAACCATGCCGGGATTCAAGGCATTCAAGGGCTGAATTACACTTCTGTTGGGGGGTGTAAGCTGGTTTCAGGGTAAAACCCTTCATGATATATCATTCAGAGAACCCAAGGGCTTTTAAAAATGTCAGCAGCACACACTGCCAGTGTTTTATTGCAATAATAAAAAAGCATGGTTGGCCCTAGCACAGTTTGAGGATTGATTCCTGAGATGTTTCATTCCACAAGCCAAGGAGTATTGTCTGCAACAAGGGGTTGCCTTCAAGATTTTATTAATTTTAGATAATGCTCCGGGACACCCACCACACCTGGACGACCTGCACCCTGATGTTAAGGTAGTCTACCTTCCACCTAACACTACCTCCATCATCCAACCCATAGATTAAGGTGCTATTGCTGCTTTTAAAGTGTATTATTTACGTACGACCTTCGCTCAGGCTATTGCTGCTACTGAAGGTGAAAATATGCTCAGAGAGTTTTGGAAGGACTACAACATTTTGCAATGTACAAAGAACATAGCTGCAGCATGGGATGAAGTTACAGGTCAGTGCATGAATGGAATATGGAAGAAAGTCCTGAAAAAATATGTGAACAGTTTCAAAGGATTTAATGAAGATGAAGCAGTTTCTGAGATTAGTAACAAGATAGTGCAGATGGGTCAACAGCTGGAGTTAGAAATTGATAATGAAGATGTTGAGCAGTTGGTGGAAAGTGTAGCAGAAGAGCTAAGTAACGAGGATCTTATTGAACTGGATGTAGAAGAAGATGTAGAAGAATGTAGAAGAACCTGCAAACCCCAAAAAGTTTTCAGTGAAACAAATGGCAGAGGCATTAATAAGGGGATGCAAATGGTTGAAGAAATGGATCAAAATGTTGAGCGTTTTGCAAAAGTTGACAGACTGATCCAAGATGCACTTGCTTGCTACAGGGAGATTTACAATGAAAAGAAAAGGCGAACTGTACAGTCTAAATTGTACATATATTTTAAGAAGTCCCCCACTGCTGTCTCCTCATGCCCCACCACTGCTGCCTCTTCACTCCCTAAAGATGATCTAATACCTTCAACAAGCAAGTATATTAGCTTGTCTGAAGAAAGCGAACTCTCTCTCGAGAGAGAGGCTTATTTTGGCCATTGGTTAACCTTTGTCCTCAAGTATTACTCAAACATAATTCCATCTTTACTAATGACTTTGAAGTACGTCTAGCAACTATCATGTGCGTTGATCTCAGCTGATTTCGCCTTCTCTTGTGATTGGTTGATGATTTTGTTAACTGAGCAACGATTGGCCAACTAGCTACTGCACTGCCATCTACCTTCAGACAACAGAACTGAATTTACAGGGTAAACACTGGAGTTACGGACTGCTTACGGAACTGTAATTAAATTTTGAGAATGCGAAATTTACGGGACTGTAAGAAGTCAAGTTACGGAACTGTATCTCTCTACTGTACGTAACTATGAGGTGTTTTGAGTATGCGGCCCCAGTACTGTATTGAGAAACAACATGTCACCTTGGCAGAATAATAACACTGGCTTACTTTATGTACAGATCACTTACCAAAACCTGATCTTGAAGTTTCCTTTTGATATCTCAGCATAATGCAGTGTACAATTAACTCAAATAACACACTTAAACAAAAGTTAAGGGTGTGGCTTACAAACAGAACCACTAAACCTAGACTTGCCCTAACTGGGTCCTTATTACAGTGTTAGTGGCTGTTGACCTACACAGGATTACTGTTTTCCTGCTGGGGTAAGATACTAGAGTGTTATTAACTAGTACTGTATTGCTAAGATATGATGCAAGGTGTTAATGCTGTAAACTAGTACTGTGGGTGTAGTAAACAAGGGTGACTACTAAGAGGTGCTATCACTTTCTCTCACCATTGTCCATAACTCTTGCCATATATCTACTTATGTTTTCATTGAGAAAAAAAATGTTCCCTACCAAATGAGCACAACTTTGACCAATAGTAATGCATAGTCACACTCCAGCCACTGTCCAGTAAGGAAATATTAAAGTACAGACTTCCAGTACTGTATAGTGCACCTCATTTCAATGGGGTTAATTATCTACAAAGGCATTCTGCATCAACTGAGATTTGCTCAAAAATTAAACTCAACATACAATCAGATTTGCTGCTGATATCTGTATTTCCTCACAAATTCAGTGGGCAGAGGATAATAGTTCCTGATGAACCACAGTTACAACAACATCCAGGACAGTAATGTAAGCAGTGAGTTACACCCATGCTCAGGACACCACTCTTAAGTGTTCATGCACAAGTAAACTTATATCACAACATTTTCTTCACTGACATGCATGGTCCTCTTATCTACAGGGTGGTCCAATTAAAGTAAACCACGTTGAAAATTAAATAAAAATTCATGAAATGGACAAAATCTGTATTTAAGCAGTTCGCAAGTTTCTGAAAACCTTTGGAAACAATAGTTATTAGTGTTTGAAAGCTATGTCCTCCAAATGTGCACCCATCTTCACAATACACTGCTGCAGTTGATGGCGAAAGTTGTGCATACATGACTCTCGGAGAAATGGCATCAACTTCCTGGCAAATTCTGGCCTTCAGGTCATGAGTATCATGGAAACGAGAGTACACGCACTACCAACTGCCACCCCGCTTCCTCCTTCCACTCAAACCCCTACCCAGTGTTGCCAGCCTAAAACTGGTTCACTTTAATTGGACCACCCAGTACAAAGCATCTTTTGGTCTATTGTTGGTCAAGAACCTCAACTTGGGTAACTACTGTACAGTATATGTAAGTCTTGATCACTTCATGATGGTAAAACCTCACAAGTGATTCTTCTTATGACTAAGGTGTTGATGTGGCAATAATTACACAAGCCGCTCTTGATATACCGGTACTGTCAACACTGCTCTTGTTCAAACAGTCTTCCTTCACTATGAAAGTCCGAGATCTATTGAGTCACGTAGTTTTGATATTTCATATACAATACAACACCAGACAACAATGACCATATCAATAATTGAAAATAAAAATTATACCTATCATTAATCTTGTCTCTATGGATCAACTTACTGCTGGTGAGGGAGGCCATGAAAGCTAAATGCAATTTCATGACTTAATTATCAATAGTTTTGTGACACCAAAGCTAAAGCCAAAAACAACTTGACATATACTTACTGATGAAGGTTGACAATCATAAAAATGATTTGTAACTTCATGTTAATAATAATCATCAAAAGAGGAAAGATAAAACAGAAGACATAAGGAAACACTGGTACTCACTCTCTGCTGATAGACTCTAAAGACTTGCGACGGAGCTCCTCCACAGTCACACCGTTGGCTGCCTCCCAAGCTTTCCTGTCCCCTTCAAACCGATCTCGTTCTTCCTCCAATTCTGCTAAGTCAGCCTCCAGTTTTTTGCGCATAGACTCATTGCGTTTTTGTAACTGTGGAATATGTACAGTAACATAAATAATCAAACCACTAAAATAAGACAATTTCCACTTAATAATCTGCCTCAAACTTTCATATGGTTACACCTCATACAGTCATCTATGTTAATACTGTTACACCTCATACATTCATCTATGTTAATACTGGTAGAGTTTTCACATACTGCTACTGTTCATACATACAGTAAACCCTCGATAACTCAGAATTTGATAACTCAGAATTTCACATAACTCAACATGAATGTGGTCTCGGTAAGCATTAGTATAACTCGGAAAATGCCGAGATATGTAAAAGTATCTGGGAAAATCTTGGCATATCTGGCCACCTGCATCACCTACCATACCTCTGTGTCACCTACCATACCTCTGTGTCACCTACCATGCCTCTGTGTCACCTACCATGCCTCTGTGTCACCTACCATGCCTCTGTGTCACCTACTATGATGCTTCAATGTTTGCCTACAGTGCTGGTAAGTGTTACTGTTTAACATTTAGTAATTACATGCACACATATATGGACCGATAATTTTTTCTTGTTGTATTTTTGTAGGAGGGGGAAGTGCCTCGATAAATTGGAATTTGTATCTTCTCTTGTGTAAATATTCACAAACTAGAGTCAAGTTTTTGTGATTATCTAACAGGCATGTAGATTGACCACTTTCAGTAGCTTGCCACCTTCCCTTATCTCACTCTTCTCTACAGTTTTCCCAGTTAAATCACATCTTGTCTCTCCATATAACCAGTTTTACTGCCTCAGATACCTACATCTTGCTTTATTTATATCATACAATAAAAGTGTGTGAGGCTACAAAATTTTAAATACAGTGTGTGTAGTACAGTGTTTGAGGTTACAGCATTTGGGGTACTGTACTGTGTGTGTGTGTGTGTGTGTGTGTGAGGTACAGTGTGTGTGTCAGGTACTGTACTTACATCTGCCTCCAGTTCTGTTAGCTTGCTCATCTTCTCCTTGACCTTCATCTCAAACACCTGTTCCATCTCCGTTTCCATTTTCCTCATGCGGCTCGTGTGTTCCTTCTTCTCTTCCTCCATCTGAACGAGAGGGTTCCTACAACAATAACAACAAAACAGATAATTATCCATAAAGTTGAACTCAAAGTAATCACACTTTCTGACAGTCCTAATAAATGAACCAGAGTAATGGTGAATATGTCTGGGTCCTACACTGGCCTTCAGTATTTGTCATTAATAAGTGGATATTAAACTTGTGTCATATCATTTTCAACACTGTGGATGGCAGATGAGGTTCCAGTGTTGTGTCCTTCTGTGTGCAGTACAGTATGTTAAGTGGCTCACCAAGCACAAGATAAAAGAAATATATGTCAATACATAACATGTCAATGACCATATTATCGATTACCTACATTATTCTTACAAAGGAATTTTAGATTTTTTCTGGGGGTTAAAAGGTCAAACACAATCACACCACAAAAAGCTGTTAAAAACACATCCAGCAAGTTTTAGTTTCTACAACAACCAATGATTTGTGAGAATAAGTGACACATCATCCCTTCTGTTGCAGGAAGAGAAAAATATGTAAAGAAACCTCTGGAAATAATGAACAATGCTCAGGTCAAGTCAGCCATCTTTTAGTTGAGTCACCTATGGGTTTTAAAAATTAATACAAATTCTGGCTTGACCTGTTCACCAACAGTTCATCCACTATAGTATGTAACACAAAAATTAATCATGAAATATCTTATAAAGAAAAGAGAATAACACATAAGAATACAGTACATGTAATTACTTACAGTAAAACCTCGATAAATCGGACTTCAATATACAGTATCAGAATTATTTTTTTTCAGACTCTGAAGTGCTCTGGTGACCAGAGAACAAAAAAACATATTTTAAGAAATGAGGAAGATTAAAACAAATCTTATGAAAAGAACACTTGCTGAATACTGTACAGTGGTCTAGTCAGATTTACTATAGGCCTACCAATAACTAAGACACTGAGTCAATAAGCAGGCTGGGGTTGATCAGGTGTTGCCTCATTCGTCAGGTTTGTTTATTTAGCGATTCAGTAATATATTCTTATACTGTATGATTGACCTCTTATGGTTCATCATCCTTCTGCAGACATTTTCAGTAAACTTTATCGTGATCACCCAACACCAATGTTCAAGGACACTGAAGAAACAATTGTGCATGGCAACAAGTTAGGTTGGCTTATCAAAATAATGGAGCAGTTGCCACTTGCTTACAGTGAAAAATGGGAACTGATAACAATCAAGTTTGACTCAGCCACTGCACAATATAGAGGAAGTAGAAGTTAGGAAAAATTAAGGTTAAAGCAATAGGAAACTGTAACGGACAAAGTATAACAGTATTTGTTGTTGGGTTTAAAAGTTTGCATCAGAACATAAAAAGGACTGAACTGTGAATGAGTTCAACAAGAATCAGAAATGAAAGAGGACTTGGTCATGTTAAGGCAGTTGCCCCCAGCCAGCTGAGGCTATTTAGTCTAATATTGTACTGCTTTCTCTGTAACTCAACCATAACTTTTATCATTAATATTATCAGACATTACATTACTTTTCTTTAATTATCCAAAATTTTGTGTAAACTAAATTCACCGTACTTGTGTAGATATTGGTGCTGTATACAATGATAGTAGACCAGTGACTTGCTACCCACACATCAATCTAACACTTAAATCCACATTAACCAGTCTATTACCCGCTTCTGATATGAACATAATCAAGTTAAACCATTGTGTGTAAAAATAAACTCAACATTTAGAAGTTTCCAATCAACATTTACATGAACACTATATATGTTTTATAAAGCATTTACTTCATTCATTATGTAAACTTTTCCCACAACAAAAAATACCAGTACTGTAATGTATTCATCTATCAACACAACAGTATGGTATTCATCTATCAACACATGCATACAAAAAGTGGTTCTCAACAATTGTTATAGAAAAGACCGATAAACAAATGGTGTACGTACAATGAAGCTTGGAACGACGCCCCACTTACCACACTGTAACATAACTGTTCACTATCCTCTGGGGACATGAAGGCCTGAATCAATAGGAAGGTGAGAAATGTGAAGATGACAATTGAGCCAACTTGCATATGGTTCACCTATTGTTCTCCTCTACATAAAAATTATTACTTTCTATGGGTACAGACACCCATGAGTGAGTCCCCCTCCTCATACACTGCACTACATTACTGTACTAAGTAAAAACTGTCAAGTCTATACAAAATATCATCACTGCCAGTAGTGTGGTAAAATATTGTTGTAATATAGAACTGTTGAAATTGTACACCATACAGAGACCCATTCAATGATTTGAACAAAGTTTTGAACTAAAGAAATCAGAAAAGCAGGGAAGCAGATGTAGAATACAAAATTAAAATTGAAGTTGTGATTCTAAAACAAAAGAACTAACTATAGTATTTCCACACTAACCTACCCTGCCATAAAGTGACACCTTCTATAGCCTGCCTATATAAGGTGTAGGGTGACACCTTCAGCCTGCCTATATAAGGTGTAGGGTGACACCTTCAGCCTGCCTATATAAGGTGTAGGGTGACACCTTCAGCCTGCCTATATAAGGTGTAGGGTGACACCTTCAGCCTGCCTATATAAGGTGTAGGGTGACACCTTCAGCCTGCCTATATAAGGTGTAGGGTGACACCTTCAGCCTGCCTATATAAGGTGTAGGGTGACACCTTCAGCCTGCCTATATAAGGTGTAGGGTGACACCTTCAGCCTGCCTATATAAGGTGTAGGGTGACACCTCCTACACCTTAGGGTATTTTTACAACAGCAAATGGCTCTTTTGTTACGACCTATAACAAGTAACTAATGGGTTGTTGTTACTGTATTTTTTAAACCTACAGTAAGTTGCGGCATAAGTCGACATTTTAAGCTTGAAAAAATCTCTCCAAAACCAGGGGTCGACTTATACTCCGAGTATAAAATGTGAAGCTGTACCACATAGTGGTAAACAAGTGGAACAGCCGGCCTAACACTGCATCACTTAGCGTAACTCCCGTGGCCTGCCGCTAATATTTCCTACTGAAATTCATGTTTGGTAAACTTATTTAACATAGAGATTATAATAAAATAATAAATTCCAGCATAATTAAACGAACACAACACCACACGCCATTTCCAACAGCAGATGCGCAGTAAACGTTAGTTTCGCAGCTGGCCGTGTGGTGTTGGTGGCGCCACTGGCAGTTTGTTTACACCAGTTGATGCAAATGGTGGATCGTAAGCCAGGTGTACCATAATGTTCTACTATCATACCGTATATAGCCTAGCCTATGTTTGGGCCTTGGGGGGGTCAACTTATACGGCAAGTATAGGCCTAAACCTGAATTTTGAACTAAAAATCTTGGTCAACTTATCCGCCACAACTTGGGTGTGTGTTTCAATATTGGAGAATTAAAAGATTAAAACCATAAAGGCAAAGAAAAGCACTGTAGTGTTAAGACACAAAGCTGTAGCGACAGTACAGCAAGAACTTGATCATTCACAATACTTGAGAATTAAGTTGGTCTCAAACCAGGAAGATGGTTCTACAATACAAGGAGGGGGCGGGGGGGATTAATGTGTTCCAAGGTCCTCATTTATGGGATTAAACTCCTCTGCAGCAAACTGTTATTTGGCATTAGTTTAAAATATCATACAGTTAGTCCTTATCAAATCAAGATGTTAAACACTTGAAAAAAAACTATACTTATAATTTGAACATTACCCATGCCTTGAGCTCTTCCTTGACAGAGTTTCTTGACAATAAATTCTACACACTTTGGGTACCATGGAAGGCACCCAGCTGTGAACGTAGACACATGAATACATATAAAGACGATAACTGTTGTTTATCATCTTGTTCAATTATGTAGAAACTCTCTCAGTTCTTATAACTATAAAAAGAACGCAAGAAATATTTGGTCTTTTGAACTAAAAAAAAAAGCTATAAATCTCATTAATACTGTATATGATTTCATCTTCAAATTCACAGAGGCATATGTTACCTTTTTACCTGCCTGCCTGAATGATCAACTGCAGATAAATTAATTATTACTGCACCACTGAGAAGGTTCCTTGTGCATGACATAACAACACACACTGATGGGCTGTGCAGGTCCTACCACCTAAACATGACTATCAACTAAATAACATTTCATTCCACTCATAAACTACCTTTTATGTTGACAAAGTTAGACAAGACTCCTGATATGACTTTTAATGTACCACTATTACAAGCAAAAGGTTTCCGTGACTCACTTGGAATACTACAACTATTCATAGACAGATACTGTATATACAATTACTGTACTGATAATGTGCTGCTTAGGTGAACTACTAAGTGTATAATATGACCACATCATTAACACAAAGCCACTTAGTCAAAACAAATGACAGTAATGTATAAATCTCTTAAGAGGAAAATATTCTCCAGTAAATCAATAGTGGTGTTTAGTGCTCTTCACCTAAGAGTGCAGAGGGGTATAAATCATTACAGTACAGTACAAGGCAGAAATTTAGTACTGTATAGTAATCCACTGAAAATGCTAATACAGTACACTGCATCGTAAAACCCTGATAATTGGACTTCAATATATCGGAATTTGCTTTTTTCAAACTCTCTGGGGTGCTCTAGACCGCCCCTCTTTTCACCAAAAATATACAGTATAGCCTCGATTTACGCAGATTTGGTTTACACGTTTGGTCATTTACACGGCACCTTACCAGACCGACAATTTTTATTTACACGGTTCATTCCATCATTTATGCAGGAAGCGGCGTGGGCAGGGTGCGCACAAGGTCACCCAGTCAACAAAACATTACCGAGTTCTTCACCCGCCACCCACCACAGCCGGCCCACGTCAGTGATAGTGAGGATATGGACTTTGAGGGGTTTGACAAAGAGGCCCTGCAAGCCTCTGCGGTGGATAGTGATACAATTGATACAAGTGATACAGGTGAGGGCTAATAATCTGCCCTCTGCCTCGGAACCAACCCCCCATCCCCATGTGCCCAGCCATCTTTTCTACTAACGTAAGTGTTAAAAAACCTAATATTATTGATATTTCTCTTAAATATTAATTGTGTGTGCATACCATCATAAAATTGAGATGTTATTTTTACTACAACGTATGTATTGGGTCGGAAAAAGTGTAGTTTGGGGGTCGGCCCAGTCTCTATTTCAATTAATCCCATATGTTCTGTTATTTCGTTTATGCGTTTCTCGTTTTACACAGACCTCCACGGGTTCAATTGACCGCGTAAATGAAGACTATACTGTATATATATTTTTTGAAAAGTCTGGAAAATCTACCATCAGTCCAGGTGGTTTTTTTATTCATACAAGGGGTTGAATATCTGTGTGTGGGTGTTCTGCAGCACATGTCTGACACTCTGTCTCAGTCTAAGTTCTACCTTCATGTATACATAGTATCAGTTAGATGCAACTCGCTACCTACAGTACACTTATTTACGTAAACTTTTTTCTGTAGAGTACATAGTATGGATAAAAAAAAATTTCTTATTAAAAGAACAGCACTTGCTCACTGAATACTGTAAAATGGTCTTATCAGATTTACTGTAGGCCTAATGACAGCTAAGACACTGTGTATGTAAGCAGGCTGGGGGTTGTGAGGTGGGGGAGGGTTGGTCGAGCATTGCCGTATCATCAGGTTTATTTATTGATTCAGCATTATATTCTCGTATGATCATCCTCTCATCATGATTAATATAAATTCTTCAATAATAGAGAAAAAATACAATATGTTATTTGTAATTTGACTTAGAACTAAAAGGATAAGCTGTATCGGAAAGTATTCACTCAGTATGCATGCATATGAGAGCTTACAGCAGACCAGCTTACAACAGGAGTCACTATAACACACTGTATAGTATTTAACATGAAGATACCTTTCTGACAACATTGTTTATTACCTTTGAGTGATACATGATGGCTCAATTTGGTTACTTGTACACTTAGACAAATGATTAATGAATAAACCAAAGTATATGCAGATGCATAATACTGTACACTACAATAATACTTATTAAGTGATGATAAATACACAACTGTACTGTACTAATTCACTAAGTGTTGAAGACAGACATTGTAGTAAGCTTATCAGCTGTTTGCTCTTTGTAAACAAATGACTCATGGTGTTCAGTGTGGGATTCTTTATTCAAGGAAGTTGATTATTTTATGATAATATTTTATCAACCTGGAACCAAATGATCCTAAATGACAGGAGAATTATGGTGAAATTGCATAAAGATGTGTTAAAGGAATCTTTGGGGAGGGGGCCTGCTGCTGCTCCCAGATCACTGTCATCTCCCACACACAATATACCCTGACCCACTTATTTTTATCTTTATAGTAATGTAATGTATACAGTTTTCTCTATTCATAAAACAAATTCTGTGGTTACTTATATATAACACTATACAGTGCATAACATTCATTTCGGTGAAAACAGTTGTCGACAACCAGACTTATGTCTGATTTTCAACCCAGAGAGTTTTGTTTCAAATTTTTTATTGTTGATGTAATAGTGTTTTAATAATATTGTTATGCACTTAAAGACTTTAGTTGTTGAAGTGCAGTAATAACATTATAGCAGCACCAAATTTTCTTTAAATAGTTCAGATAAGCAGTGTTAGCTCCACCCCCCACAGCCCCAATAGATTTTTTTTTTTTTACTTTTACTTTTCTCAGACTGGGGTCTGCCCCAATTAGTCTGATTTATCAAGGTTCTACTGTACAGTATGTGGCTACTGACTTCATAAACACTACAGTGATAAAAACTATCAAGTAGTGTGTCTAATATTTACATTAAGGCAACATTCAGTCAGCACTATAACATGATCTCTAAGCCATACCATCCTGTACACAGACTGTTAGTGTTAAACACATCTAATACTGTACCAGTACATCACTGTGTAACAAGGCTGTTATACAATCATCACCACTTTCATGCACTTTATCAAGCAAGATTTCAAAGTTTTGGCTTCTGTTGGGTATGAAATCAAATCTGGATATGCAGTGTGGCGAGCCATTTAAGAGTCACAAGCAATTTGTTTTGTAATTTTTAAAATATGGGAAGAGACAAAAGAGTGAGTTAGCTTAGTTATGTGTAAAATAGTTATTTTTCAAACACCAAGTAACTAGTGGGCCAAACTCAAGGGATAGTGGGTCAAATGGGCCACTACTATACATGTTAAAAAAGTCCAGACATATTTGGAAATACAGTACAATAAAGTAAGATTTGGTCAGTTAATCCTGAAGGTGTATACAATTTAAGAAATTAATTACTGTATAATAGTGATGAATGATGGCATGTGACATACTGCAGCATCTGACAAAATTAATACTGCCACATACATAAGGGAAGAGTCACATACAGTGGTCCCTCGGTTAACCAACGCCTCAGTTAATAAAATTTCGGTTAACGAATGACCTTCTGGAACGAATTATGTTTGTTAACCGAGTGACCACTGTATATACAAACAGCATAGGATGAATGTTTTGGTGCCTGAGATATTAACTATATTTGAAAGGTGCATTGAAAACACGACATATTATCACTGTTGTTAACCATTCATTCCAGTCTTGTCTCCAAGTTCTTTAGATTGAAGCTTGTGTTACAGCACAGTATTACACTCACTGTCCCTCTGAGTAAATGTTTCAAGGCAAACTTCCATATATATATATATATATGCATATGCAAGTAAATCACTGTAGTTGCGTGTGATCCAGGTATATGCTGATAACCACCTCTGTGTGTGTGTGTGTGTGTTAACTTTCACACTCTGTCTCAGCCCAACAGTAATTTATGGTAACCTCAAGTGATGCTTCCTCACACCTGCTGCCTCTTAAGAAAACAGGGACAGGACAAGACAGTATTTAAATAAAACGATCAACTTACTTGTTTGTGACTTTTAACTTGGGATCTGCACCTCCGACACCAGCTAACTTGCGACACCGATAATTCTCATAGTGAACGTTATTGGTCACATCCTTGAGGTCTTGCATGTGTGTACGAATCATCATGTTGCGCAGAGGAATAAAGTCACAGTGCTCAATATTTTCAACTGAAACAACATTAATATTTACTAGTAAGATAAACAGAAGAACCTATGAATAAATTACCTCCTACATATACACATCTTAACCCACTTTCTTAACACTAGACCTGCCACCACCAGCCTCTAGAGGCCAGATTCACTAACAACTTGCGGTCACTATAAGTCCCTACGATCAACCTTAAGGAAGAACGGGCGATTCACTAACGGTTTACAATGACCGTAACCCAACTTGTCATACAGCAAATGTCACAGTGGCCACCAAGCACCCATAAGCTTTCACAAGGCAGAAATAACTTCTGTACTATATAACCCGTCAAGACACCCACAGCCGCCAGACTGCAGTACTACAAGCGTCACTAGTGAATGTGAAGTTGTAACTAATGATTGCTTTAACTCATGACCGTGCAATCCGGAGAGAAAAAGTGTTTAAGGATCCTTTGGACCCACTACAAATTGATGACCTTACTGCTATGTAGGGATATACTCTGGCTAGATATTTCTGTGTTAATAGCTTTGAGGGTTTTTGCAAGAGGTAGTTTCCAGAGTGTAGTTGATAATGTTACTAGCTTAAGACAATCAATTGTGTAAAGAATTATAAAGCGCATTTACTCCAAAATAAGAGTAATACTACTACTACAACTGCTACTACTGCTACTACTACTACTACTACTACTAATAATAATAATAATAATATTAATAATAATAATAAAGAACCAATAAAAAAAAAGATCAATAGTGAGAAACAATATATGTATGTTGTGTTGTCAAAGTAAGAAAAACAATTGAGACCCCAAATAAATATCTTCCCAGGCAGTAGTACCTCCCTGTTTGGTAGCTGCCTACTACCTAGCAAGGAAACAAAACAAATACACCCCAAATTCATCTAGTAGAGGCTTACCGAAGCAAACTTACTTGCGGTTGCAGTGCGAACCTTTAGTGAATCCCTACAACCAAAATCGTATAGTCACCATAGCCTCTCGAGATATGGAGAGATACGATCAAAGTTATGGTCAGTTTAGTGAAGCTGGGCTTAGAACACCATACAGTGAGGCACCATACACATACTGTAACTGGTCAGCTCACACACCACATCCTCACCTTCAACTATGCCCCAAGGGTACTTGCGCCCCCTCACTTTCTTCCCCTCCACCTCGACAGTAGTATTGGACCCGACCACAGCAAATGGCACTCGTTGTTTCATCTTAGCAACACCGCTGTCTCCTTCATCCTCTGGGAACTCATAAATCTTTATCTTGTGCTGGGCTATTTCGTTAAGTACCTGCAGCAAAACAATTAAACACCTATACACTATGTCATAAAACAATAAAATATTACATTCATTTCAAACTCTGTACAAACTATGGAAATTATTGATTTACTTATTATATAAAATCAATAATGATTCAACTATAGACAAAATGATCAATATTTACTCTTTAAAGTTTCTGGCAATATATTCACATTATTATCTTACACAAGTGATCTTTCTCTTTATGATGGAGTTCCCATTACTGTATCATAGTGTTACTTAAGTGTGTCATCCGAGAGTTAGTCTTCCAATTTAGTTGTTCAAGCTTTATTTTCTAATATCCTTAATGATTTAATTTCTCAATCCATAGTACATGAAATGATGGCAGCAGTTGTGTCTCACCTGCTTCTTCAAGTGCTGGCATTCATCAGGGGTAAGAGTATCAGCTTTGGCTATGACAGGGATGATGTTCACCTTGTCGTGGAGGCGCCTCATAAATTCTACATCGAGAGGTTTCAAGCCATGGCCCGATGGAGCAATAAAGTACAGGCAACAGTGTACCTGTATTGGGGTGGAAACTTTGTATCAAGGTGATGCCCTTCATCACAACACAACTTCACTAATGTAGTATAAATCACCTGTCAGCCTAACCACAATAACTCATTAACTGCTGAAGAACCACAATTATTGCCAAGTTAATCTCGCACATTTTCTCATTCCAAATAAAAAGTAAATCTTATTACATTTTCTCACACTAAAGTTAAAGAGATAAGTAACTAAAGCTGCAAGAAGGCTGGTGAGAGAAGAGATCTATAAACTATCATAATAATGACACCTATAAGAGTATTACTTTGTTTCCTTCTACAAGCTGACCTTCTCTTATCCAGCAACCTTGGGACCAGCACTGTGCCGGATAATGCATGTTTGTCTTACACACATGATCAGTACAGTTTTCAATGGTCAACTCACACCAAACAGTATCTTTAGTGAGGGATCAGATGAATATCAAAATGAACCTGTTTTAACAGCAAAGTTGTCCAAATCATTTGTTGATTGTGTCACATTGCCTAACACATACTGTAACCATAAAGATATTTTTGGAACATATTTATATTTCCCTTAGCTGCACTTACCCTAATGTACTGTAATGTTTATGATTTTTTGTTTATAAATCTACCTATTATCACACCCAGCTTCATCAAAGGTACCAGCGACTACCCTACACTCATTCAGGCAAGTGTTAACAAGTGAGATCGTTTGATATCAAAACTCGGCCAAAACATACGCCACATATGTTGAACTGGCACAATCTATGTACACCACATATGTTGAACTGGAACAATATACTGTATGCCACATATATTGAACTGGAACAATATACTGTACACCACATATGTTGAACTGTAACAATATACTGTATGCCACATATGTTGAACTGGCACGATCTATGTACACCACATATGTTGAACTGGAACAATATACTGTATGCCACATATGTTGAACTGGTACGATCTATGTACACCACATATGTTGAACTGGAACAATATACTGTATGCCACATATGTTGAACTGGTACGATCTATGTACACCACATATGTTGAACTGGAACAAAGGCACCACATATTTTGAACTGGAACAATATGGGAATGTATACCACATATGTTGAACTGGCACAATATACCGTATGCCATATATGTTGAACTGGCACGCATCTATGTACACCACATATGCTGAACTGGAACAATATAAAATCAGGCGCGCCAAGCATATGTTGAATCGGTACGATCTATGCACACCACATATGCTGAACTGGAACAATATACTGTGGCCACATATGCTGAATTCCGGAACAAATATATTGTACACCGCTATGTTGAACTGCAACAATATACCGTATGCCACATATGCTGAACTGGCACCCATCTATGCACACCCTCAGCATGTGCTGAACTGAACAATATACCGTGGGGCGCCACATATGTTGAACTGGTACGACGGCGTGGGCCACTAAGACATGTTGAACTGAACAATATACTGTATGCCACATATGCTGAACTGAACAATATACCGTACACCACATATGTTGAACTGGAACAATATACTGTATGCCACATATGTTGAACTGGTACGATCTATGTACACCACATATGTTGAACTGGAACAATATACTGTATGCCACATATGTTGAACTGGCACAATCTATGTACACCACATATGATAAACTGGAACAATATACTGTATGCCACATATGTTGAACTGGCACAATCTATGTACACCACATATGTTGAACTGGAACAATATACTGTATGTCACATATGTTGAACTGGCACAATCTATGTACACCACATATGTTGAACTGGAACAATATACTGTATGCCACATATGTTGAACTGGCACAATCTTCGTACACCACATATGTTGAACTGGATCAATGTATGTACACCACATATGTTGAACTGGAACAATATACTGTATGCCACATATGTTGAACTCGTACAATCTTTGTGCACCACATATGTTGAACTGGATCAATGTATGTACACCACATATGTTGAGCTGGAACACGGTATGTATACCACATATGTTGAGCTGGAACAATATACTGTACGCCAAATATGTTGAGCTGGAACACTGTATGTACACCACATATGTTGAGCTGGAACAATATACTGTATGCCAAATATGTTGAGCTGGAACACTGTATGTACACCACATATGTTGAGCTGGAACAATATACTGTACACCACATATGTTGAGCTGGAACACTGTATGTACACCATTCACGCAGAAAAATCTGAACTCATGCACACTGAACTGCATTAAGTACTCACGTGATCACTTACCCTGCTATCACTGATCTGAGTTCTGTTAACCCGGGACTCACAGTTGAGATATTCTTCATACTTGGTCTCCACATAGTCTGTCACCGGCTGCCAACTGTCAAGTACAGCACAAGGGTACAGTGCAGTATATCAAAGATAGTACAGTACAGTACAGTCAGGGACGACAAAAGTTCGCTTCCCCCTAAAATGAAGTAAAATCGGCCCTAAACATGACAAAACAGTCAGGGTAACCGTGACTCAGTTTCACTATGGGTACAGAACTTTTGTCCATGACTATTCTGTACTGTGTTGTACTGTACTGTGCTTTCAGCCAATTGTTAACAGAAAGCAAAATAATAATATAATATATCAATGAAATAGTTTTGCTGGGATTAAAATATAAAGAACCCTGGAAAACATGGAGACATTGTGTTGAAGACTGTATGGAAGGTGCTGAAGACTGTATGGAAGGTGCTGAAGACTGTATGGAAGGTGCTGAAGACTGTATGGAAGGTGTTGAAGACTGTATGGAAGGTGTTGAAGACTGTATGGAAGGTGTTGAAGACTGTATGGAAGGTGTTGAAGACTGTATGGAAGGTGCTGAAGACTGTGTGGAAGGTGCTGAAGACTGTATGGAAGGTGCTGAGAACTGTATGGAAAGGTGCTGAGGGCTGTGTGGAAGGTGTTGAAGACTGTATGGGAAGGTGCTGAAGACTGTGTATGGAAGGTGCTGAAGACTGTATGGAAGGTGTTGAAGACTGTATGGAAGGTGCTGAAGACTGTGGAAGAGGTGCTGGGAGCTGTATGGAAGACTGTATGGAAGGTGCTGAAGACTGTATGGAAGGTGCTGAAGACTGTATGGAAGGTGCTGAAGACTGTATGGAAGGTGTTGAAGACTGTATGGAAGGTGTTGAAGACTGTATGGAAGGTGTTGAAGACTGTATGGAAGGTGTTGAAGACTGTATGGAAGGTGCTGAAGACTGTATGGAAGGTGCTGAAGATCAAAGTGGAAGGTGTTGAAGACTGTATGGAAGGTGCTGAAGACTGTATGGAAGGTGCTGAAGACTGTATGGAAGGTGGTGAAGACTGTATGGAAGGTGCTGAAGACTGTATGGAAGGTGCTGAAGACTGTATGGAAGGTGCTGAAGACTGTATGGAAGGTGCTGAAGACTGTATGGAAGGTGCTGAAGACTGTATGGAAGGTGCTGAAGACTGTATGGAAGGTGCTGAAGACTGTATGGAAGGTGCTGAAGACTGTATGGAAGTGTTGGTGCTGAAGACTGTAAGGAAGGTGCTAAAGACTGTATGGAAGGAAGGAAGACTGTATGGAAGGTGCTGAAGACTGGATAAAAGAAGACTAAAGTGGAAGTGTGCTGAAGATCAGGCGGTAAAAGTTGAAGATCAAAGGAAGGTGTTGAAGACTGTATGGAAGGCGGAAGGACTGTATGGAAGGTGTTGAAGATCATGGAAGGTGTTGGAAGATGACCCTCAAACACAAAAGTTCCTCATAATTGGGATTACAACTTATCTAAGTAGGTTTTGGACCAGCACTAGGACAACACAGTGGGGATAAATACACCCCAGTGGGCGCAACACACCACAGGTTATAATACACCACAGTGGCCATAAATACACAAAAGTGGCCATAAATACACCACAGTGGCCATAAATACACCACAGTGGCCATAAATCCTTAAAACAACTAGAATAAATATGAACACTATTCTGGATTAAGATACCCATATGAGCCAGTACTGTGCCCAAGATTGACACACACACACACACACACAAAAACACACACACACACACAGAGTTGATATAAACTGGAGAGCTTAATCTGTAGGTGATATAAAAAGTCTGCTTGACCTACCAATCACTGTTGTCGACGGCATCACCAAATCCCGGAGTGTCCACTACAGTCAACATGAGGTTAACACCATTCTCCTTCAGCAGCACTTTGGTCGTTTCCACCTGTTACAACACAACAAAGTTAACAATACACATGACACTAGTATACGAGAAGATGGCCGAGCTTCTGACACCCCCATATACTGTGATATCCCCGTTAGCCGGAACAATTAGTGTAGACCACTTCCGGGAAAGAGAGATTTCCGGGTAACTAGACGACTCTCTCAAAGCCAGAAAAAAACTTCCCCATCCCCGGAATTTTCCAGGTAGTGGGAAAATGTTCTCAGAATTTTCCGGAAAATGTGCCCCTCAGAAAATTTCAATTCCGGCTATCGGAGAGTTCGGGGTTTGAGGGATTCTGACCTTATAAACTGACCACCAATTTTTCTTTTCATTCTTTTAGTAAACGTCAGAAGAAAACAAGTATGGATGAAGACAACAAACCCTCGCCTACTAACACTTAACCTTAACACACACAAAAAATACAAATATTCCTCTAACTTAATACTGAAAATTTTTAAATTCATCAATTATCATTTTACCACCTTATCATCAGTCTGGTGACCTCAACTACCACCTTATCATCAGTCTGGTGACCTCAACTACCACCTTATCATCAGCCTGGTGACCTCAACTAGAACTGACCAAACTACTGCAGTAAAAGTTGGTAGCTTTAAAAGTGTTAAGTTAGGTTCACTTACAATGCAAGGTGAAATAAGTTATATTGCATTATTTAAGATTAAGTTAAATAGGTAAGGTTAGGTTAAGTAAGTAAAGTATTGTATGTTAAGTGAGAAGAAAGATAAATCACATAATTCAGGTTAGATTAAGTAAGTAAGGTTAGGTTAAGTAAGGTTAGGTTAAGTAAGTAAGGTTAGGTTAAGTAAGTAAGGTTAGGTTAAGTAAGTAAGGTTAGGTTAAGTAAGTAAGGGTAGGTTAAGTAAGTAAGGTTACATTAAGTAAGTATGGTTAGGTTAAGTAAGTAAGGTTAGGTTAAGTAAGTAAGGGTAGGTTAAGTAAGGTCAGGTTAAGTAAGTTAGGTTAGCTTAAGTAAGTAAGGTCAGGTTAAGTAAAGAGAGGTTAGGTTAAGTAAGGAAGGCAGGTGACCATACCTGGACTGTTTTCTTGACACGGTGTGATGGTCCCGGGTGATCACTGGAGTATACGTCAGAGAGGAACATGGAGTTGATGAGTGTACTCTTGCCCAGCCCACTCTCACCTGTATGGGATGAATATACACTATAGTAAACCCTCTCTAGAGATACAGTAAACCCTCTCTAGTGGACAGGGAGGACATGGTGGGTGTACGGGTGGATGTGGTGGGTGTACGGGTGGACAGGGAGGACGTGGTGGGTGTAATGGCCGCAGAGGAAAGCTTTAATTTACTTCGTGATGCACCACCAGGATGATCCTCCCTCTCCCCTCCAAACCCACACCCACTTCACCATCCACGCCCACACCCATCACCCACTCTCACCATCCACGCCCACACCCATCACCCACTCTCACCATCCACGCCCACACCCATCACCCACTCTCACCATCCACGCCCACACCCATCACCCACTCTCACCATCCACGCCCACACCCATCACCCACTCATCACCATCCACGCCCACACCCATCACCCACTCACCATCCACGCCCACACCCATCACCCACTCTCACCATCCACGCCCATCACCCACTCTCACCATCCACACCCACCACCCACGCTCACACTCACCATCCACACCCAGTCATGCAACAGTCAGGAAGATGTACTATACTATACTAACACAACTTTCACACACACTGGTACCTGAAGGTTGGTTTCCTGGTACTGTACTGTACTACACACACACACACACTTTATCCTTGACCGCCGAAGGGTCAAGACGTACCTGGCACTCCTCTGGTAGCAGCCAGGTCAACTGTTATATTGACCCATACCAACTCTCTCCCCTGAACCCCTCCTCCACACTGGAATATCAACAAGTTCTCGCCAGAAGTTACAATTTAATTTGGGAAGGAATGAAACCAGTGGTGAACAGTGCTTAAGCCAATGAAAAACAACACAACAGTAGTAGCTGAGTCGTACCCAAGCTAACCTTCAAACAGTGAGATCCGAGGTACCCAGTGATAACTGCCCATGAGACCCAACAACAAGCAGTGATGTGGTAATCCGTCCACGATAGGGAGGCCTGAGACCACACCTGACTGTATACCATCTCAGTGAATGAGGTCCTGTGACACCAGACCAAGTGGTGCACCCATGGTGCTACACCACATTACGAATGAGCTGCTACAGCATCATGTGAGGTCCCTCATAACACCATCTGAGGAAATTACTACACCATGACAGGTCCTGGTGAGGGGGTCGATTTGACACCTTTTCAGGTTTGTCTTAAGACTATCTTATACCTTTTCAGTTGCTCACTGGCCTTATGTTTACTATTCGTTAGGTGACTGTAAAGTGGCTGCCTTGGCAGTCTACTGTCGTCCATGCTGGTAACATGGCCAGTCCAACGTAGCTGTTTGTGGATAATGGTAGCCTCGATGCTCCTACAGTTGGTGTCAGCGAGAATACTGGCATTTGTTCTCTTGTCTTCCCAGCGAACTCGGAGGATGGAACGTAGACTTTGTTGGTGAAAGTTTTCAAGTGCCTTGAGGTGCCTCCTGTATGTGACCCATGTCTTGCTGCCATAGAGCAGGGTGGGGAGGACCACTGTTCACACACACACACACACCTATTTACTCAATCAGTTTTCATTCATTCAATTCCGTGTACCTGTTCATTACTAATGTCATGGTACAAGATGTATGGGTCAGATGAGGGCACACGGTGAGGGCGAAGTGGTAGGGGTGAGGTGGAGGGGGTAGTTGATGAACACTAAATACTCGTGACACTGATTGACACAGCTGATAATCTTATAAGTAGTTAAGTGGCCATCACTTCCCTGTTACATCACCCCCTCCCCCTTCACCTCTCCATACTATGCACCTTTTCATCCATACTACTGTACATCCAAATGGTGGTGGTGGTGGTGGTGGTGGAGGTAGGGGTAGCAATGGTGGTAGGGGCAGTAGTAATAGTAATGGTGGTGGGGCTAGTATTATTTATTATTTATTTATTTTTTTATTTATATATATATTTTTTTTACAGGTATTAGCTCACCCGGGCACAAGTCACTGACCCACACCAGGGCCCGGGGGGCGAAATAATAATAATAATAATAATAATAATAATAATAATAACAATAACAAAAATAAAAATAAAAAAATAATAATAATAATAATAATAATAATAATAATAATAATAATAATAATAATAATAATATTATTATTATTATTAACAAAATAATAATAATAACAATAATAATAATAATAAACAACCATAAAGAAATACAAAATAAAAAAAGATCAAGAGTGAGAAACAATATACTGTATGTATGTTGTTGTCAATAGTAAGAGAAACAACTGAGACCCTGCAATTGTGTGTAAATGAGGCAGAAAGACAGATCAGCAACCTGGGACTTGGTCACAATTTTCGTGATGCCATATGGCAGCAGGGTAATGGTGGTGGGGGTAGTAGTAGCAGTGTAGTAGTCAGTGCAGTAAGTTAAGATCAACAGCAGTACAGTACTGGGGCCGCATACTCAAAACACCTCATCAGTTACGTACAGTAGAGAGATACAGTCCTGTAACTTACAGACTCCTTACAGTCCTGTATATTCCTCACACTCAAAATTTAATTACAGTTCCGTAATCAGTACGCAACTCTAGTGTTTACCCTGTTAATTCAGTTCTCTTGTCCGAAGGTAGATGGCAGTTACAACCTTCGGGTTCTGTGTAGTTAGGACAGTTAGGATTATAGTATTTTGTGGGTCATCCCAGATAGGCTATGAGTGACCCATGTTCTTGTGTAGTATGACTAAATCAGGATTTATATTCCTCAGGGATTGCTATAATTTTGTTGGATGCACTTAAGACATATTCATCGGTAAAAGTAATATTTTTTTTTTAATGTTTTATGTTATTAAGTGGTGCAGGATGTATGAATGAATTGTTTCAGAGGAGTTCCTCGTTCTGGTGTCTGTTCTGGTGTACTGCTGCATTATTAGTTCTTTTCAGATGCAATTAATATCTTTTAATAATTTTGTTGATGCCGTGTACAACTTTTGTTTCCCATTGTAGTGTTGTAAGCCACGCTAAGAAGTGCTCTAGTGTTCGTATACAATTGATTCTGTCTGTAGTGTTGGAAGGAATACAAGTGTTATCGTTTACCAGCGAGTCTCATTTAACCCCAATCACAGGTACTAGCTATTACACGGTCACAGAAAAATACTTTTATTAATTGTGTATGTGCTGGTTGAGGCCGTCACTGTTGAGGCCGTTACTGCTAAGGTCATCACCGTCATGTTTAAATTTCTTTACTTTAGTTAGAATTGAGTCACCTGATCACTCTACCTGTGTGTCCAGGTGTACCTTCTGGGTTTGGGTAGTACTTATTACGTTACCTTGGGTTAAGTTAGATTAGGTTAAGTTAGGCTATGTTAGGTTAAGTTATGTTAGGTTAAGTTAGGTTTGGTTTGGTTTGGTTTGGCTTGGTTAGGTTAGGTTAGGATGTTTGGTTATGTTTGGTTAGGTTAGGACAAGTAAGGTCCACCACCCTTAACTCGCGCACTGTACAAGACAAAATCATACGTAGTAAACGACCCAGATGAGAATCAAGACATACTTCACAGTACAGTACATAACAGCCAGACAAGGCAGAGGAGTGAGGGAGGAAGGGGGAGTGAGGGAGAGGCAGGATGAAGGAGGAAGAAGAGGAGGAGGAGGAAGGGGGAGTGAGGGAGAGGCAGGATGAAGGAGGAAGGAGGAGGAGGAAGGTGCTACTATATATATCCCGTGTTTACCTCTATACCCTCCCCCCCACCCTTTACTACCTCCTACTGCCCCCTCCCTCTCCTCCTCACTACACCATCACCACCCTCCCTTATCTTCTCCACCAGCACCACCCTCCCCTCCCCTCCTCCACCACACCACCACCCTCCTCCATCTTCTCCACCAGCAACACTCACCCACACAACTCTGAATATACTAAGCATGTCCTTAAGTCTCTCTCTCTCTCTCTCTCTCTCTCTCTCTCTCTCTGACACACACACACCATCATTATTCTATATCACCCGACCTAAACCAACACAACTGCACCACCTCCCCCCCGCCCCCCTACAGCTCTCTTCCACCACACTCACCTCCTGCTCCTTCGATCTCACTACCTTTCCTCTCCCCAAATTTGCTAGCCCACACTGATTAGTCTTCAATTAGAATATGACATCCAATGTATATGAACCACTGCCCTGCATGAGAGCGAACAGTGACATCGTCCACATGACTCTGACCTATATGTGTACTGCCAATGAATATGATGCACTTCTTTGTGTATGAACCTCTGTCCTGCATGGCAGAGAACAGTGACATTATCCACATGATTCTGATCTATGTATACTGTTAATGAATACGATGTATTTCTTTGTGTACGAACCTCTGTCCTGCATGGCAGTGAACAGTGACATTACCCACATGAATCTGACCTCTATATATATAGCTGTTAATGAATATGATGTATTTCTTTGTGTATGAACCTCTGCCCATCGCGGCAGTGAGAAGTGATACCACCCTCAGTGTCAAGACCTGACTGAACTACTCAGAACAGGCAAACTGTACTCCAAGCTTTGTCAATAAATTTGTTAAACAAAAAAAAAAACCTCCATCCTTTAACACCATCTCACTCACACCTCTTATATCACCACCACCACAGTACCATCACTACCACCACCCCTTACCATCACTAACACCAACACCACCACTACCACCATCAACACACCCTACAAGTACTACCACCACCAACCCCTACATAAGAACATAAGAATGGAGGAAACTGCAGCGGGCCTATTGGCCCATACTGAAGCTATCCAGCGTATTCGAATTAATGATGATGTTTGGTAACTTGTTCCACTCGTCCACTACTCTATTTCAAAACCAATGTTTACCTATTTCGCGCCTAAATCTAAATTTGTCTAATTTAAAACCATTGCTACGAATTCGCTCCTGGTTGGATAGTTTAAGTACCTTTGCTATTTCATGTTTGTTTAACCATGACTTCCATTTACCGGTATACACCTCTTTCATATCACCCCCCAATCTACGTCTCTCGAGGGAGTGCAAATTAAGATG